CCGACGTACCAGTAAGATTCAGAAGCGTTCTATGTAAACTAGTGTCCATCGCTTGAATTCGTCGAGTATTAAGGCTCCAAGCTACCGTAGCGACTTATTTCTCAACTTTGTTACATTTCTCTACTTTCAAATCCAGTAGTAGTGCTAACTTCATTAATCCTCAACTACTTTGACTTAAAATAAAATACTTTGACTACAGATAACCTAATTTGTTCATTTTCTTCTCTCTTGACCCTTTCATGCACCCAGTACCTTCAAATAGAGGCTGTTCGTGGGTACGACAAATTTAAAAGTAAATTGATGCATTTTCCTTTCACCTACTATAAATACTACTTACTTTGGAGGACCCTCATTTGCCCACTCAAGCATTATTGTTTGGCAATCCTACAGCATGTGAAATCTATTTTCTTTTGAGCCCACGAGATCTTTGGGCTTCGTTGAGAAGGTAATGTTACGCGGAAGAATAGGCAAAGAATAACAATTTCTAATCAAACAGTCTTAAAAATAACTTTTGGTACTGAAGGAGGCCTTCGTGAGTCCGCCTCACCAGAAGAAGATTGAAGGACTTCGTTGGGACAGCATGTGCTTAAGTGTGTTCATGTATGTATGTGTATGTTTGCGTGTGCGTATGCATGTGAAGTGAACAAGTTTGTTTTTGGACTGGCGCAAGATCCCTCGAATAAGTGAAGCCAATTTCATGTCATTTGACTCAACTTGATTCACTGAAGCCAAGTAAGTTTCAAAGCAAGTGATTGTTTGCTCTGGTCTATACGAAGGGACAAACGATGCCAATCTGCAATGGCAATAGAATAAGGAAAGTGCGAATGGAAAGTTATTTGCAACGAGAGAAGAAGAGGAAAGCTGCGTATTCCACGATTGTTTAGGAAGATTTCATCTTCTGTCTCTCTTGCATGCGCCACTAGTAGGGAGAGTCTGCGAAGTCTCTCTTAATCATGTGCTTTCTTCACATCTTCATTGGGTGACATCGTTCCACGAAGCTCTTCTCGCTTGGCCGGTCGTTGAAGTCTCGGTTAGCATCATCTACTTCCGTCTATGCAGAAAAAAATCAATTCCAGACCAGAAAGGTACTGGCATGGTGGTAGAAATCGTAGCTAAGATCAGGGCTTTTCAACTTTATATGCTAATTGTCAGAACACTTTCTAGAATCCACCCCGTACATGTCAACGGATCTTTTAGTCTTTTCAATTTCTCGTTACTAACGTAATACTCACCTCCAAAGCGAGAAACAATTCTTTGACAAATTGGACAAACTTTGAGCCCAGAATGATGACCGGCTGAACTCGTATTGCGGCAAATGACGATTTGATTGTACCAATTCACTCTCATTCTTGAGGGCTTAGAGACGAGAAAATTTGGTTCAAAAATGGTCGAACCTCGTCACTGACTCATCAAAGCCGGTGATCGAAATGCCAAGGATTGTGACTCTTCGAGAACATAAACCTTCGTGTTTCGGTTCAGCCGAACTACGGATCACTTCCATTATACCTCGGATCCGGTCAACTGGACAAACATGGGATTTTTCGAAACCCAGTTTTTTATCACAATTCCTCCGAACGACTTTATGGACACCGAAAGAAGAGAATACTAGAGCCACGTGAGGGGTCAAGCCCGGGGAGGAACAGTGGCCGGAGCATGGGAAGGTGCTGAGTCAGTAAAGTGTCATCAAAACCTCACTTCATGGTTGGTCTCTGGTTGTTCGTAGATGATCAAGACGCTTTTTAGTCCATCATATCCCCTCGAGGTAGACTAACCTCGAGGTGCTTCCACTGGCATCGCCTCAAGAGTGTCCGAAAAATAGCCCAACATTTTTCATGAATAAATGGCCCACATTTAACGGTCAGTGTTGTGTGGACGGAGAATTGATCTTTACAAATGGACACATAAAAAACAGACAAAGTGATAGCTTACAGAAGAGTTGATCCTCGAAAGATTATCGCGCTAAAAGACGGTAAAGGGAGAAACATAAAAATAAACTCTCATTCAAGTTGAAATGGAGAATACTTTAAAATTGCTCAACATTATCCCTTTTCTTTTCTCAACTCGACTCCTCTTTCCGGCCGGCCTGGCGTACATCGGCCTCCTCGGGCGTGGATTCGAACTCGCGGTTTTCGTACTGGAAGGCGGAGGATTTCAGCCTCAATGATGAAAATTGGTGCGATTAATGACGGCTTTGGTAGCATGAAGAGTATTGACACGAATCCGATCGAGCCTATGCACCGGATGATAGCTTGAGAGTGCTGAAGGTCCAAATGGTTCAGAGCAAAATGTCGACATCGGTTGCAAGTAGGCCGACCAAACTTGCATACATTTTGACGCTTCGCTTCTTCCCTGAAACCCACCTGCTTCACTTTCTTCCATTGATGCATTTGTGCTCATTCACTTGGCTGCAAATGCAAAACATTGCGAAGCTAGTCTCAAGCCAACTTTCAACTTGAAATTCAATTTGACTGACACAAAACGTATGTTTTATGCTGAATTCCACTGTTATGCATACATATTCCAGATTGCGGCTTTATGTGTATAACCGGGCTTCTGTGGTCTCCCAAGAGAAGTGTGCTGTCACGCACCTTTGTTTAGTTTCAAGGAAGCTTTCAACTATGCTACAGCTCAACCTGGAGGCACAAAATTGGATGAAATTTTCAATAGTTAGCACAAAACGCACAGATTGTCACACCTCCATGCCCCCAATCTGGCATAATGTGTATCGTGTTAGCCGCATTATTTGTAGCAAGCGTGTAGCAGAGGTACTGATTAAAAGTTAAGCAGATGAACCATTGTCTGGAAAAGTAAAATATAAATTCGAGTTCACTTCCATTGTAAGCAGAAATGTGTAACGACGAGCTTCTTATCATAAAACGAAAGCGGATTCCTCTTTACTGGATTATTCGCATTGTAGCCGTTTCCGATTCTAGTGTTAAGTTTGCCTGCAGATATATTATGCTGGGCAAAGTGACAAATCGAAACAATTCACTTTATGTCCATTTTCGGCCATGTGTGCCGCTGGCGCTTGTGTGTTCAGCAAACTTATATGAAATTGTACAACCAATCTCCCCAACATGAGCACATTATTTTATCTCAGCTTGATTCAGATAAAATATACAATTACTTTTAAATAAGAATGTTTGCATGCACGGAAATCACACAGCAGCTCATAATTAACAACATAATGCGCCATTTTTAGGACAGAAGCTGCATTAGAGATGACATTTACGGACCTACCGGGTGGAGCCGGCTCGATCTTGTGCGGCTGGCTCACGCGGATACGCATCTGGTCGATCTGCTCCTTGCGAAACTCCTGATGACGAGTACGAATCTGATCGCGAAGTTCGATCCGATAAGAGCGCAGGCGTCTTGACAGCATCCTGTGCGGTCAGAATAGGGCGGAACAATTAGCATGTCAATCTATCGGCTGATGTTCTGCTTCGCGTTGGTTTAAGAGGCATCAGACTTGAGGAACATAACACTTTTGCGAAGAAAAGTTGCGTTATATAATTGTTGAGCTTACTTCCATTTCGAGTGAAAGTGTCACGTGACGGACATCATCAGATCAAGGTAGCATCATCACATCAAAATTGAAGCTAACGAGTCAAGAAAACTCACCGGCAAATCGCTAAAAAGTGGTATTTATATACTCTACAACTGGCCTCTTTGATCAAGTATAAAGTGATTTGGTTATTTAAGGTCAGACACATACACATACAGATACAGACCCACTCACATGCATGAAAGTTGAAATGTGATATTAACTAACCAAATCACTTTATACTTGAGCAAAGAGGCCAGATGTAGAGTAGATATACCACTTTTTACCGATTTGCCGGTGAGTTTTCTTGACTCGTTAGCTTCAATTTTGTTGTGACGATGATACCTTGCTCTGATGATGTCCATCAAACGATGGATCTTTTCACCGGAATCGAAGGAAATTGCCTCGGAAACAGCGTCCGCATGAATCTTCCAGTAAAGCCAATCGACAGCTGGTCAAGAGGAATCGGCCGTCGTCTTCTGGTGGAAGCGACCTTCGAAGCTCTTCTCCCAACACTTTCCCTCGATATGGAAGTAAGCTCAACAATGACAATTTTGCTCAGAAAATGTCCTTTTAGTAGAAAGTAAAAAATATACTGGCATAATTTATTAGAATGCCTACTGAATTATATTTCGGTAATATGCCATTCTATCGATAAATTAAATTAGCATACAGTAAATATGGCAATTAATTTTGTTGCATATTGAAGAAAACCTGACCTAGTCCGAAATAATTGGCACAATCATTTTTACGCTCAAGTCTGATTCTTGCTTATCTTCATACTTGATACTATTCCCACAAATGGGCTTTGCGTTAACTTTGCCTCGACTCCCACCATCACAAAGACAAAACCATCTACTTGAGTGTCTTTCATTGGCGCCATTAACTAGGGACATTGTTAAGCATTGGATTCTTTCGAGTTTTCCACAGAGGATACTACAATTATCAAATGCGAGATTTGTGTATCGACTGTAAATCTTGCCCGATAAGTTAACTTATAATCATTAACAAGTAGTGATCCAGTGAATGGAAACAACTGGCAATTGACTAAACTTACTGATAGTTAATCCTGTCAGTGTGCTCGTTGTCAACATAGTCGGCCACCTGTCTCATCTCATCAGCAGACAAAGAAATACGAAATTTCTGAAAAAATGGACAAAAGTATATAATTAAGTAAAGAGCCTGCTCTACTTCTGCAAATACTTTAAATGGCTTAGTCTCCACGATCTATCACTACCTACCTACTAATTATTACAATCGCTAATATCAATTATATTAATGTTATGCCATTACAATTACAATTACTATTAGTATATAGTATAGAGGAAATCATATATAATTTCTTTATTATTATGAGTAGTACATAATAAGTAATATAATGTCTATTTTTAAGAATAAAGCAGAGGTCAGGCTACAGAAAGCATATCAGAGGAAAATATTCTATTTTGCAGGAGTTACTGCAATTGAATGATGAGGCCCAGATGAATTTCGCGCTCCTTGGCTTTGAGACAACGAGCCTCATTATTTCTTATCCCACTTGATTGACTTTCGCGGCAGATAGGAAAATGCGAACTCTCTGAACAAAGGCATAAAAGTATATGATTATATGAAGAGTTTGCTTATAGTGTTTTAAATTATTCGAGAATATGAAAGACTCTATGGCATATCTAACTCAATTTATCACTACCTAATTGCACATTATTCATACTAAAATTACCAATATGTTCATATTTATTTTTATATTTTTGATATTTGTATTATTTGTAAGTAATTCCGAATTATTAGTCTACCTGATTGTCTAATTAACATGAAGATATAAAAAGTTTCGGTTTATGTAGGAATTACAAATTATCTTGCTTTGATATGACTCAATTTTCAGTCGCTTATTTCTTCACCCAATCAGCCAGTATGAAGTGAAATTCAGTCATTGTTGTTCATCAGAATTCCCAAACACAAGAAGTTACGTTTCTCATATCGCCTAAACGAGTTGATAAGTCATTTCAAAGTAAGGCTGATCTCGTAAATTTCTGACTTACTTTGGATGGTCCGACATTCAACTGGTGAACCCAGGAGAACTGACAAACCGAAAAACTTTTGCAAGCTGCTTCTTTCCTCCCAAAATCAAGCCGGTCCAAACAAAACGCCAGAACCTCAGTCCTCTTGTGCAATGCATGATCTCCTCAGGGAAAGAAATCTGCTAAAGTTTTTCGATGCGGCTGTAAATAGGTTTTTCAAGTGTGAGAGCAAACCTAAGCAACTAGACAAGGTACCGGTTTCGAGCATTTTTGCGAAAAAACCTGCGTTTATACTGCAGTACTCTTCATTTTGCGGGATTCGTAAGTTGGTCTCACCGGAATCTGTAGGTGGATTTCCTTGGATCTGTGATTGTAGATTTGTGCGAATAGGTCCTCGGCCCACGGCCATTTTACCTCTATGAATCTAATTAAGATAAAGTCTCCTGGATGGTGAGAGTTACCAAGCGAATTATTTGTTTCAATTCAGTCTTACATTTGCCTTACCGCTGGCAGAAATAAATGATCTCATGAAAAGATTGAACAAAGCCTAACACTTTTGTGTATGTGTGTACATGTGGGAGAGAACGAAACCAGCAGGGATGTTTATAGGTAAACAAAATAATTGTGAAAACCATCTTTTAACTATCAAGAACGCATCATTACGAGTTCTTATGTGATGAGATTTGGGCTTCAGGCGAGAAATGTGCACTGCTTTGTTGCACAGTGCACCAGAAGCTGTGTTCGTCTTTTGCCAGACAGTCAGTCTGGTACGTGAATGATGTTGACGAGACACGGGCAAATCCAGGCCTGTACTCTAGTTGGCCTAGCAACAAGACTTTTACGAGAAAAGCTTGATGCAACTTTAGCCTCGACCAGTGCCCACCTTTGGTCTTCTACAACATTAGTTCACTCACTGACCGGCACTAACCAGAAGACTTGCTGTGAACTCGGCCCGGGTGAGTTCGCCCGAATTGGACTTGTCCATTATTCTGAATAGATCAACAACTCGCATGCCATGATTGTTCAGATATTGAGCGATAAATAGAAGAGGATCCTTTTGGTCTGAACGCCATTGTATTGAATAGAAATTATAAATGAAAATAGAAATTTAGAAGATATAAAAAGTAGCCAAAAAGTAACAATAAAATTATAATATAATATGAATATTTGCTTGATCAAAAATAAGCGAGGAGAGTTAAGCAGAAGATGAAGTATAAATTAAAATTAAGGTTAAAATAACGATAGGGTCACGTATAAAAGTGGAGATTGAAATATATAGGGAATTAGAAAACAATGTTGAAATGGAGCTAGAAAGATAGACAATAGTGGTAATATAAATAGAATAGGAAATAAAAAAGAAAAGGCGAAAGAGAAATAGGTGATAATATAGACAAAAAGTAGAACTGAAATTATAAATATAAATGCGACCCTGTCTATAGTTAAAACTAGAAAAAAAATGTATATATATAGATTTCAAGACATAAATGATGAACTAGAAATAAAACTATAAATAGAGATGTCCATAATAGAAATAGAAATAGAAATAAACTAGAATCAGAAATAAATGTATAAAAACAAACAAATATAAAATATCGCTTAAAATAAAAATTCAAAATTAAATTCCTACTATTATCATCGACCACTTATTTATGTGGGATCTTGGTTTGAGTAATAGCAATTTTTTTCGAATTAAGTATTGTTATCGTGAGTAGTATGAGATGTATTCACCCAATTTCGTTTAAGATGATGAAGGACTGGTAGAAAAAGAATTTTTCCACAATGATATAAGTTGGGCTGGTGTTTCCTTTAACGAAATTGGGTGAATACATGTCATATTATTTTTTAGAAGGGTTCAGAGACCCAGGCAAGTTCGGGCATGCGATTTGGTCGGAATGAGAAAGCCTTCAGAAGTTAGGTTTAAGTGATCGCCACTGGAGTCACGAAGTCGGCTATTCAGTTATCATTTCTACATCATTTCGTCACGAGTTCTTATTCAAGATTTAGAGATAGACTGCAAACCCACTAACTAAAAGAATATATTTTGCTGGTCAAACGGTCACACTGCCTGATTAAGCTGTTCACCATTTGGACAATGTGGCCAAGTTGTCTGTTGGCGTTGAGGCGATGACCG